GGGTGAGACCGGGGAGCCCCTGAGAGTCACAGGAGCTCGCTGTTCCCGTGGGGGCTATCTACTGAAGAAGACAGGCCACAATAACAGGGATGCTCTGTGTCATGACCGGAGCAGCCTGGTCAGTCAGTCAGCCTGCTGAAATGCCAAACATGGAGAAACCTGTTTGTAAGACCACATCTCCTCTCCCCTTCCTGATCTTTGGACAGCCCCCTCGGGGGCTGAGGCCGGTAGGTCCAGCCTTTGCAAGTCCAGGGAAGCAAGGGCAGAGGTGATCAGGGCAGGGTGACTGTCCATGACATAACTGGAGACAACCTGTGTCTGGCCTGCATAGGGTATCATAAAAAGAGTCTGCTGCTAACCATATGGCGCGTTTCGGGATGCAGGAGGCGGCATGTCACTGCTGCAAGCATTTGGTTGCCGAGCAAGGATGCAAAACACATCTGTTAAATGTTGCCCATGGAAAGCCCTTGCTTCAGCAAGCAACTTACTATGTACAGGGAGGAAGGGGAAGCATTAAAAAAAAAAAGTCATTCCTCTCTTTGTAAGTGAAAGAATGGAAAACGTTCCTTCACATCCCAGATAAATCAATAGCACAGCATTAGGCCAGCTGGTGATAAACAGCATCGGTTGATTCTGCTATTGCATTTCCAATCCGTCACTGAATCCAGAAGACTCTGGGGACTGAACAGGCTTTGATGATCCCAAGGGATGGCTTCAACAAAGGTTTAGAAGCAAACACTTTTATGGAGCAAATGATCTGGTAAGGAAGTGATTCATGCGTTGAAGCACACGTGGCTCGTGCCGAGGCAGGTGCTGTGCCTCCCAGCCTTCTTCTGGCTCTCCCCTGGGCAGCTGGGATGTGGCCTGCCAGATGTGCTGGTCTGCCCAAGGAAGAGCCTCTCTCCGGAGGTGAGGAAGTCTCTGTGGGCTTCGCTACCCTGGCTGAAACCAAATTCTCATCATCAAAAGGCTTCCTTGGGACTGGATGTTCAAATACTGGCAGCTGGGGACAGACTTTTCTAAAGCATCTGGGCTCCCCAGCCCTTTTTCTCTTTCCAAGAAGCCTTGGTGGATCTAAATGCATCAGAGCATTATCACAGCAAAGTGACAGGAGGAGATCAGAGATGCCATAATGCAAACCCATCAGGCATGGGTGCGCTAAGGACGGCTGAAGGCTGCATCGCTCTCTTCTGCCTGTCTGATTGCCCCCAGCTCCATCCACATGCCAGCTGGTGAGCTGGGGTAACGCCATTTGCTCTGCCCGAAACCCCTGCTGTACCCCATGGACTCTGCAAGAGCTTTCTCATCCTCACTCTTACCCCGCTGCGCACAGGGATGTTTGTCTCCTTTCATTCACTTGATTCGAATGAGCCTGGCCAGTTTTTGGGCAAGTCATCTCTTTGTTTCTCTGAGCTGCTACAGAGGAAGGAAAGTCAACAGCGAGAGAAACGCACAGCAGGGCTGCAGGGAAGGAGCGTCCTCCGCTGTCCTGAGCAAGGTGAATTGCTCTGAAGCTGCTCAGATCTGCTGTGCAGGTGGGAGCAGGCGAGCTGGGGCGTTCTGCCAAGTGCTGGGCAGGTGTTGCTGCCGGTGTAACACACCCTCTCCGCTTGCTTCCCTCGCTGTCTTCACCGCCTTGTCAGCGCATCTTTTTGGCATTGCTTTCTCCAGCCCATAGCCAGAGGAGACAAAAAGGTCACTTCAGGAAGAGCCACCTGGAAAATACAGTCCAGATGGAGGAGGACTTGGTGGTCAGTCTGGCAGGCAGCACATTATCTGCAGGAATGAGAAAGTGGTGGTCATCATGGTCGGCTTCTTGTGGAAGTGGATGGAGTTATGGCGGGCTAGCCTTACTCACACGGTCCTCTCCAAAACCTGCAGAACAGAAGAAGCTGAAGCCTCTGTCTGCTGTGTGTTGGTGAAGGTCTCATGATTGCAAACCAGAGCCTGTCTCCAACCACCCAGCATGGAAAATCCTGCCCTGTGTTCGCCAGCCTGGAGCAGGGACATCGCAGAGCACTCGGCTGGGAGCGTTTCAGGCCCCATGGGTGCTGAGCTGAGCTCTGACGGTGGGCTGAGGCAGTTCAGACTGATCGCATCCCCTTGCGACTCATTTCTGGTTGGCTCCTCCTGATGCACTGCATGCAAGCAAGGTCCAAGCAGAGAGGATTCTTGGACCCATTTCCCTTTGGAGGATCTGCATTCACTGTGAGATCTGGTGGTGAGGCCTTGAAGCAGCTCCTGGCGTTGTTGAGAGCTGGAAGGCTGGGGCTTGCCCAGGCTGCTGTGTGCCGCCTGCTCTTCCTGTGGCAGTTCTTGGAAATGGTTTTCCAGGGCATTTTGGCATGCCCCTGAAGTGGAGAACACCTGCTTCTGTGTTGCTCTTTGGCTTAATGCTTATTTTATCCTGTTACTGCCCTCCTGACCAAAGGTCTCCAGAGGTGATCCTCACAGCCCTGATCCGCCTGAGATGTTGGGCATCTCTCCTCCTGCCCAGCACCAGCACTAGGAGGGAGCATCCCTTCACCTCCCAGGCTCCTGTTCTTGCTCTGTGTGCTCGGTCATCCCTTCTGCCTGTTACTGCCGCCAGAAATCAAGTGTTTCAGGATGGCCAGGAATCCCCTTCTGAAAATAACTCATCTTAATGACTGTGTCATGGTTTAGGAGAGTCCAGCTCCCAGTTGATCAGTCTTCCTTAGCTAAACGATTTTCCACCCACGGTAGCTCTCTGCCTCACTCTTTTCTGTTGCCCCAGGCTAGCTTGTCTGCAGTGAAAAGGCAGCTTTTCCCTGACTGCATCTCGCCCAGCGGCCTGTGCTGCAGGGCAACCTTGTGCTCCCTGTCAAGGTGCCCCCATAGCACCAGCTGCTTGCAGAGCTTCACGGGAACGTGGTACAGGATCTGTGCCATCCAGGTCTTTGCCTGTTTAACAAAGCCTGTGGCACGTGAGCAATCCCTCCCTTCTGCTTTCACGTGTTTTCCTCTGCCATGAAAAGCGGTTATCCAGAAAACAGCACCCACCTCTTCCTCTTGGGGACAGAGATGGCTTTTTGGGGTGGCAGAACAGCTCGGTGCTGGCTCCAGTGTGACTGTCTCTTGATGCACAGCTTTTACAACCACACAGGCGACACTTGCGAACCCTCCAGCTGCCTTGGAAGCCCCACAGTGGTTGGAGAGAGGTGAAGATTTGCGTTGTGTGGGTACACCCATGGCTCTGATACGTGGCAATGCTCTGCGTCCACCTGGGAGCGTGGCAGTCTGGAGCAGCAGTGCTCTCTGTGCTGAGGCGCGGTCGGTGTCCTACGCTGGCTTAGAAACGAGCCTGAGAGCAGAGCTCTTTGGGGCAGTGTTGGAGTACAACTCCTCGCGAGGCCCTGGGGTGTTGGGCATGGATGCTTGGGGACTGTCTGACTGCTGCCCTTGCTCGCTCAGCCAGCTGGGATGAAGGATGACAGAGGAGGAAGAGCAACGCCTTTGCCAACCTGTTTGTCACAGCACTGCTTGCCCCTGAGCTCTGCCAGAAGTAGACTCGGGAAGGAAGGGCGAGGTTCTCCCCGAGCCAAGTGACAGGTCTCACTTTTGCCTCCTGCCAGGTGGAGTCAGAAGGTCAGTTGTGCAAATGTTTCCTTTCCTAGGCTGGCAGAAGAGCCCGGCAGCCTCTCTGATGGGCCTGATGACCAGTAAGGAGCTCATCTCCTTTTGCCCAGTGCTGGGCACTGTCTGGAGGCACGTGGTGCTTGCTGGCTTAAGCCAGTCCTTGCTGGGCAGCTCCAGAAGGTTGGTCAGGGAGTTGAGGTGACCGCTGACGTTCTCGACAGTAACTTGCTCTGGGTGTTGCGTGATGGTTGTTGCTTAATCCCGTAACGCCTCCGAGGGGACCAGGCTGCTGATGCTGGTGGGCTGCTGGGGTGCCCGTGCCTGGGTGGGTGGGGAGCAGGGATTATATTTAGGACAATGCAAAGATATCAAGGTCGCGTGCTACAAATAGGGTACCTGTTATAAAGCTGGTTTGTCTTGTATACTGTGTGACTTGCGCTGTGTCTTGCTGGATTTGGGTATGTGGAAGTTTGAGAGAAAGGCTGCAATTTCATGCTGAGGATGCGAGGCTCCTTCTGCCGTATTCAAAACAGGGCCTGAAGCTAAGTGTGTTGCTGGGTCTCTCCTTATCAGGTGCCGGCTGCAGGGTGTGAGAAGGTCCCGTGTCAGCAGGGCCTCTGTGGGAATGCCTTTCTCCTTTGACACCGCAGACGATGTAATCCTGCGTCCCAGTGAGACCACAGTGTCCTTGGGCTGAGTTTGATCCTAGCTGGCCTCTGGTCTGCACAAAGAAAGTCCAGCTGGGACCTGGCTGGCATTGCTTGGGGTGCATGGGGTGAACTGGAGCACAGCAGCTGCAGGCGGACCTGTGGGTGTATGGCACAGGGCACCAACATCTGCCAGTGGGTTCTCCTGTCTGTGGTGCTCACGGTCCTAGTCGTAGCTGTTTCTGATAGCAAAGCCTTTGTGGGGCTTGTAGGGATCAGTCGGAGCAGCCTCTTCTCCCCCTCTAACCCTAACCTTTCTCCTTGGCGTCCTGGCCAGTGACTTGCTTGTCTCCCTCCTCTCTGGCTCACTCTGCCATGCCTGTCATACCTCACAGCATGTCTGACTTCTCCTCTCTTTTTCTCATCTCTCTCCTTGTGCAGCAACACCAACCGAGCCGGAAGCAGTGGTGAAGAAGTACCTGGAAGAGCTGAAGGGCTCTCCTGCTGATGAGGTGAGAAGACAGTGAAGCACCTCCAGCTTCCCCAGTGGTCTGTTCACTGGGTGCTGTGAAAATCATGGCGATGCCTGAGGACCGTCCTTCCTTCAGCATCCCATGCGGTAGATACCGCTGTTTGTGATGGCACCGTTGATGCTAGATGGAGAGGCCTCAGCTCTGCCTGAAGCTGGTAGCTGGTGACCTGTCCTTGTCGAAGGACCGTGATAGAGAAAGCACGGTGTGGGCTGAGTATCTAAGTTTGGGCAGTGCCTCCACATTTCCCTTGGAGCTGGCTGCAGGGGCTGGCGTGGAGGAGGGAATTTGGCTTTGGTCTCCTCTCAGTGCTCATAGAGGTCAAAACTACCGAGATGAAAACCCTGCACTGTCTCTGTGCCCTTAAACCTCAAAGTGAAGGATTAAAGTTCAAGGCAAATCTTCCTGAAGCATCTGCTTGGTCGCTTCCTTGGTGGGTCAGTCATTACGATCAGCCTGTGCTTGCACACCATGGTGGTTTTCTCCTTGCTGTCTTGGGCTCTAGGACTGTATCATCTGCATGGAGAAGCTGTCCTCGCCCTCAGGTTACGGCGATGCGTGCGAGTGCAGCACGATCAAACCAGAGACGGTCGGCCGCCTGACAAACTGCCAGCACTCCTTCCACATGCTCTGCATGCTGGCCATGTACTCCAACGGGAACAAGGTACCGAGCTGGCCCATCCCCACCAGGTCCCCGGGCCTGAGTGGCTTGGCTGTGGAGCTCTGATGCCTGCTTCTCTCTCCCCGCAGGATGGGAGTTTGCAGTGCCCCTCTTGTAAAACCATCTACGGAGAGAAAACTGGGACTCAGCCCAAGGGGAAGATGGAGGTCTCCACTTTTCCCCAGTCCCTCCCTGGCCACAAGGACTGTGGGACGATCCAGATTGTGTATCACATCAGCAGAGGCATCCAGGTGAGTGCACAGCCCGCTCACAGGACCGGCAGCAGCCGGATAGCGCAAGCTGCAAGAGCCTCCCGGAGAAGTACGGGGCTGTAGTACTGTACCTGCTGGCACCCACCCTTGGGCAGCCCGAGGTGCCTGGAGCCAGCAGCTGCGCTGGCTGTTCTTCAATGTATGGGTGAGTTGAGTCTCCTCCGTGAAAGGTCTTTTCCCCCTTTGAGAGTGGCCCCAGGGTCTACAACAGCCTTTTGCCTACAGTAAAGACTCGTGTCAGCATGAAGCAGAGAGGAGACTCGGCCATGCTCACAAGGTGGGAGAGATCCCAGCGTCTCGTTTCGCAACCCTCGTCTGAGGTTTCGGTGGTTGCAGTGAGCTTGCAAAGGTTTGAGCTGGGTGGTCTTTTTAGGCTGTCATCAGACCACATGGGAAAAGCTGTGGTTTGGGGCAGTCTCCCACCAGAATTTCAGTAATCTGAAGAGCTGGCTCTGTATCCCAGCATGAGCCCACTCTTGGAGGACCCGTAGTGTTCGCGTGTCCCGTAAGAACAAGTCAGATATCTCGTACTCATCAACAGCAATACCTTGCTCTTCTTGCGTGGAAGAGCTGCTTTGAGATGGACCTGTGTCAGATCCTGCTGCTGAGGGATTGTCCACCTCGTATGAAGATGGATGTGTCCGTGCCAAATGTGTCTGATCTGTTGCAGGGCCCTGAGCACCCCAACCCCGGGATGCCTTACACAGCCAGGGGCTTTCCTCGCTACTGTTACCTGCCAGACAACGAGAAGGGCAGAAAGGTAAGGTGTCACGCCCTGATCACCCGGCCCTCCTCGGGTTGTCTCGTGGCCCTGTGTTGGTGGATCGGCACAGCAGGGTTGCCTTTGGGAGCTGCCCTCGCGCTGCTAACCAGCTATGGTTAGTAGTTGTCCCTGCTGTTTGTTCCTTACGTGTACTTGTAACCCCTCTGCTTTTGAAGCTCTTTGCTGCACAGCCAGAGTTGTGAAGTCTTACTCTCCTTTGTCCCTTTACTAAACAAAATCCCATCTGATCTTTTGGGAGGACACTCCTGGCCTGTCTTGGGCTGTGCAGTTGCAAGGGTTTGCACTTAGAACTGCTGAGCTCGGAAAGTCCGGCTGCTGGCTCTTCCCATCCCGGTTTCCTCTGGGTGGGTGTGTTTGTCTCAGTTTGTGACGGTGTTTTTCAAGTCTGGAGGACCAGCACGGGCAGGGAATGGTCCTTCCCAACAGGGGAACCACATGGGTAACTAGGAGGCGAGGGAGATCCCTTCTGATGCTGGGATCTTTGGTATCCTCCTGCTACAGCAAGGATTTAGGCTGTTGAACTTCTGGCGAGCTGCTCTCGTGGCTCAAGTCTCCCAGCTTCTGAAGGCCAGCTTTGTTTTTTCTCTTTCCGCCTCTAGGTCCTGGAGCTCCTGAGGGTGGCCTGGAAGAGACGCCTGATTTTCACCGTGGGCACCTCCAGCACCACCGGCGAGAGCAACACGGTGGTGTGGAACGAGATCCACCACAAGACGGAGATGGACACGAACCTGAGCGGCCATGGCTACCCTGACCCCAACTACCTGGACAATGTGCTGGCGGAGCTGGCCGCGCAGGGCGTCACCGAGGACTGCCTGCGACAATGAGTCGGGGGGGCCCGGCTGTGCCGCGCGTGTCGGGGGCCCACCTAGTGCACTTACTCCTGTTGCCTTAAGTTCCTGTGTCCGAGCGCCTGTCGCGCTGAGCAATAACACTGTGCCGCGGGAGGAGCCCTGCCTGCTCTCCACGGGATTTTTTGGGGGAAGGGAAGGAGATTTTTGTAGAAACTGTGCTGGCACCTCCCAGGTCTGGTTGATGGCCACATCTGGGACTGGATGGGAGAGTGGTCCTGAGGTACAGACCCCCTGCTGAAGGCAGAATCTCGCACTGGCGATGCCTGGGGACAGGACAGGGAGAGGGGGTCTTGCTCCCACTAGCCCAGCTGGAAAGCAAACCAGGTCTCCCTATCGCTGAGGCACCTCTTTCCGCAGAGCCTCCTCCCTCCTGCCCCTGTATCTCTGCTTGGTTGTAATAAACGCGTCCTTTCCACGGCCACCCACCCCTGTGCCGTCACCCTGCTGGGTGGCCTGGGGTGCCTCCCCCTTGGAACCAGCCCCCTCCGCGGCGCTGGGGACCTCGGTCCAGCCGGGGGGAAGGAGGGGACGCGGTGCAGCACTGGGGGGGTGCGAGCTCTGCGGGGGCAGGACGTGGGGTGCTGG